ATATAAATGCGTGCATGAATGAATGAATAAATATATATACGAACAAACGAATGAATGAATAAATAAATAAAATATAATACTATATTTCCGACTACGCCTTTTTTGCTTGTGTAATCATGTTGAAATGGTTTAAGACCGACATGGATATTTTACTAGATACTGTATGCCAAATACCTTAATGTTATTACACTAATTCCAAACTGTTTCGCTATCTGAGTTTTTGGCACAAAATACCGTAGCTGTTTAAATTTTACAATTCCCGTCAACAGTTACATTGTTATGAGTAGTATAAAGCCCTAGTAACATTGGTTACTATGTGTCTATGAGCACATGCTATGGATCCAAACTGTATAGTCTGCAAAGAAATGCTATGTTAGTTACTTCTGTACAATTTGATATGAAGTTTAATATGATTAAAATTTTAATTTTTATATAACAGCGGTAATATTTTCATATTTCAATTATTTTTTAAAAGGCTAGTTTTTATTTTTTGTTGATTTATATGTTTTTATTTTATTACCTTAGAATGACCATATATACATTATAAAACAGCTGAAGGTTGTAGGCTCGTTTGTCGTGGGTACAAATCCTGACCGAATGTGTGTTTGGGAGGGGGGGATTTTTTCTTGTAAACATGATGCATGATGCTTATCGTACAAATATCAATTCCTCACATTTTGTTTCTTATTTTTCTCCTGCAGTGCATGATTGCAATTTGCTATTTGTTTGTAAATGACTTCGACCAGCTCTTGACTTACTTTAGTTTCGTCACGTGGGGATCGACGGCTGTTACGATTAGTGGATTGTTAAATCTACGTAGGACGAAGCCCGATTTGCATAGACCACTAAAAGTAAGTTTTAGTTTCTGCGACTACTGATCAAGGATCAAGGACATGTTATACTATACCATGAGTCTACGCTATAACGATATACAGAATGAGGTGTATTCACAACGAACCTGAATTTTCAGATAGGAAAACCTACCGAACCGATCAGAAAATCGAACGCTCGCTATCAGCGCCTGGGGGCTGAGGTGGTGGACAATCACGCACTAATTGGCGCAGACCATGAGGAAGGGATAAACGTCCAGGGGTGGAGCCACAGGATTTGCCCGACGGTGGGGGGGGGGAGTGTGAGGGGTCCCCGACAAGGGGGAATATTTACCCGACGAGAAATAAGTGGGCGTGGTCGAACGTCGCTTTAAATGTCTCGAAAGTCGTCTAGGAGGCGAACCCCCTCAATTCCCTTAATTTTGACAATTTAGGGGTTTTAGAGTCTACTAATATCTACAAAATACTTCATTGATTTTTTTTCTCCCCGACGAATTGTGGTTTCTCTCCCCGACGGTGGGGGGGGGGAGGGGTCAGCTCTCCCCGACGAGTGTTCTCCCTCACCCACGCTGGCGCCAGCCCTGTAAACAACCCTCACATACTTTTTAAGGGGGAAGGGTTGGTCCCCTCACTTTTTGTGAGTCAACAAGATATGCCTAAAAAAATTGTTGATATAAATGCATAAGTGACCCATACCAGGTTTTAACGAGAGAGCGCTGTACAGCCAGAGTAAATCTTATTTATATAGCAAGATACCCAGTTCTATCTCTCCCCGCAAACATCTGAATGACCTATAATACTCTACTCGAGTGAGAAAAAAAAGTGCAAAGATAAGATAGGGTTTCGGCACATGAAATAATATTTTCTATGGTACATCACAGCGATTAATTAAATCGATGATGATGAATTTTACTATATTATAAGGGTGTCATATCCGGCAATCTAGAGGTACAATTTCCCCAAATTTTACCACCTCAGACCCAACTGTGGTGGAACTGAGAGACGTGTGGACTCACAGTTTTGAAGTAAGTAAAGTAAATACATCAAAGACAATGTTTTTAAGTTTTATTTTCTATGGTAACGTACCTCACACATACTAATTAGATCTCTATGGTTGCCGAAAATAGCTGATAAAAGATCGTAAGAATTTGTTGGCGCTTCATTTTTACTATATTATAATGGTAATGTGATGATGAATTATACTATTTAAAAGTGTCATTTCCGGCCATTTTGAGGTACTATTTCCTCAAATTTTCTCACCTCAGCCCCAACCATGGTGGGACTGAGGTGAATGTGGCCACACGGCTTTGAGGTAAGTCGAGTATATTAAATATAGCAAAGAAAGTGTTTCTTTATTTTTATTTTCTATGGTACATTACTCGTATTAATTAGATATCTGTTGTTGCTGAAAATCCCTGATTAAAGATCATGAGGAATTTGCTGGCGCTTCATCTAGACTAAATAATGATGGTGTGATAATGATGAATTTTACTGTATAAATGTGTCATTTCCGTCCATCTAAAGGTACTATTTCCTAAAAATTTCTCACTTCGGCCCCAACCATGGTGGGGCTGAGGTGGTTGTGGACTTACGGCTTTGATCCAATGACCGGGGTAGTAATGTGAAGCGCTTAGAGGCCTTGTAAAGGCATGAAGTGCTATATAAGAACGACATATTATTATTATTAAGTAGGTAAAGTAAATACATTAAAGAGAATGTTTTCTGTGGTTGCCGAAAATCTTGATGATGAATTTTACTATATAAAAGTGTAATTTCCGGCCCATCTACAGGTACTATTTCCTTAAATTTGTGCACGCACCCCCCTACCGCCAAATCCTGCATCCGCCCCAGAGCGCATCGGAAACGCGGTCCGAGTTTATGCTCGGATCCGATGTGAATGCTGCTTAATCGAAATTTTTTCATTTCTGTCCGTTTTAAGCTACTTGTTGAAAGTAAAAGACGATTGAAAACTGCGCAATGACAAATGCTCATTTGGTGACATTAAACGATAGAAGCTTTTGATTGGTAATGGTTGGAAACTTATATAGCGCATAATACATGGTCTCTATGCGCTCGGGACTAGATGTTGCACTTTACAATATCTTTCTCCTCCCCTAAGGGTCACTTCATGTCTTCAGCAGCCAGTAAACCGGCGCACTTTCATCTGTGCACGACAGGGGCCGAATGAACCAGTACACCGGGGTAACCCCCTACTCATCTCGAAAGATGTACTGGGTTCTTTAAAGTGCACATGAGCATTTGTGTTTGGTGGTAAAATATGCTTAAAAGTTTAAATTATTCAAGTGTACATTTGTTTGTAGATCAATTAGTCAAATCTTTAGAGAGAAAGAACAAAAAAAAGGGCCTTATTTTACTGTTACATTCTGTTGAAAACTGCGTGTTTTTTGTTGCTTCATTAACAAATTAAAAGTTATCGAAGCGAACTCAGAGTTAAATAATGGGCGTGACAAAAAAAAAACATGGCCGATTATTCAGTTAATACCGAAAACATTTGTGTTAATATAATTTATATTAGATAATAATTATAATATTAGTCCAAATTAATTCAACTATCAGAGATCAGGAACTAAATGGAAATATTCGTAAATACTAAAAATAGTAAAAACAATATTATTATTGTTGTTATTGTTAGGCCTATTTATTATTATTTACTTTAAATTTTGTTGTCGTTATTGTTATTTTTTTTTTATTGCTATTATAATATAGCATCGGATTATTATATAGTAGGCCTGTCACTGTTCTTTAATTATCAGTTGAGTTGTTGTTCTTACGACAGGTAAATATAATTTTGGTAATTTGGTTCTTGGTGGTGTGTTGTTGCTTGGTTATCCTGGGAGCAGTGGCTAAACCAGTGGAAACCATTATTGGAATATGCCTCACCTTTACGGCGATTCCAGTCTATCTGATCGCCTTCAGATGGAAAACCAGACCACAATCGTTCCAAAGCTCAATCCGTAAGTACCTCAAATCCGCTTGGTATGCGATCAGGTGTTAACAGTTCCAGCTTCTTGAGGCAATGCGTAGGACGAATACATATTTGTAAATAATTAAATGTTGAAACGTACAAGTACGGTTTAAATTTAAATATGTTGACAGAATACGATCGTATTTCACTGCACAGGAGACAATTGAAGAAAAAGAAAAGATGATGAGGAAGATGAAGTTTATGCTGGTGATGTTGCTTATAAGGATGATGGGGATGTTTATGGGGAGGATAATGATAAGGATTATGATTATGAAAATGAGAGTGATTATGGTACTGATGATGGAGAGGGGAGGAATGATGGGGTGATAACGACGAGAAAAAGAATAGAATAATAATGATGAGGCGAAGGAGAGTCATTTTGATGAAGACATTTTTAAAATGAAAATAATGATGGTAGGCCTGCCCTACATTATGATGAAGTAAATTTCAATGGCGCTAATAATGACAAAGAGAAGAATAATGATTGTGTTGAGGATAATGGTGGTAACGATGGTTATGCCAATGATGAGACGATGAGGATAATCATGGTTTTTTTTACAGTATTTATTTTTGAAATACAGTAATAAAACGAAACATAATACATCCAGCCAAAATTCTCTTTACCTCAACATGAGGATGACGACGATTAATAAGCCTATTATTATTCTGGTTATTGGCTTTGTTTTCTAATGCCGTTAGACAATTACTTTGTTGTCTAATACCGTATGGAGGTGACAACCGTTCGATGAGACGATCATTATTAATTATAAATTGTGGTGGTGTTCATGATGATGATGATAATTATGATGAGGATGAGGACGATGATGATAATGATGATGGTGGTGATGATGATGATGACGACAACGGTGATGATGATGATGATGATGATAATGATAATGTTTGTGATAGATATTAAGATGGTAATGATGATTATGATACTAATGATGATGACGATGACGATGAAAATAATAATTGATGGTGGTGATGATCATCATCGAGAAACAACGACGAACAATAATATTATACTTATATAAGTACCATAGACTTGATTTTAAATAGGCCCAGAAAGAATTTCTATGTGACGATTATCTATATACAGTATAATTATCAGCATATCATTCTTAAATTTAGATGAAATTACTAGTCGTTACGATGACTCGAATGCTGACAATGCACAATAATAATTTACATTCATTATGTTTCAGATAAAATCACATGTTTCTTACAAAAGCTGTTCCTTGTTGTGAAGCCAGAAGAGAGAATCTGTCATTGATGGTAACGCGTTTCGTAATCCTTAAAGACGCTATGTCCACTCGTTAAACTTGATAGTTGGTGGTGAGATCATTGCTAAGCAAATCAAATCACCTCCTGAAAATTAGGATGATGCCTTGAGAAATCCAAAGTTATTTACCGTATCTGTGCTAGCCTGGATTCGAGACTAAAACTGCACTTTGGGGACAGAAATTTGTGAAGATAATTGAATAACTGCTTGCATACTGGTAGTTCCAAAACTTAATTTTCTAGAAAGTCCCTTTGTGACTGTACTTATCTCATTGCGTTTTAGTTTGCTTTATGCAGGCCTATGTATTATTTTATTTGGTTTGTAACGCAATATGTTCATAAATATGTTATAAGCTAATTATGAAAATCTACCTACGTTATTCTCTATGGTTATACTTAAACTGCGATATAATCACATTTTTGGTACTACGGTATTTGAAGGCTTATAAACTCCTTCGTTCTGTATTGGACTTTTGCGGGTTAAGACTCATGACCCATTAATATAAAAGGTCATACCGTAAATTCAGAATATACTGTAGGCCTACTGTAGATCTATGTATTGAAATTAATATGAAATAGGGTTGTGTAAACCAAGCAGATTACTGGACCAATTGCATATTATAGGTTTAGTAAATGACCCGGCCATAACTACAGCTAGATTGCGTTGTTTGATTTGCTCCATAGGAATTATTAAGTACCGGTAATTTAGCATAGTATTAATATCTGCATAGGGCTATATACACTAACAAACAACTAAAGATATCCCTAAAGTTTCTACAATCGTCATGAAACCTTAGCCATTCTGGAAGGGAGATAAGTCTACGAAAAAACAAATCTCATTTTGACAAACAATAAATTGACACAAAAGAGCACAATCGACAATCAGGTAAAATATTCTATTAAATCAAAATGCCAAACACATCGAAAATATAACATCTTTGGTATCTTATAGTATCGGTTACACAGTCAGGTTATATAAGTATTGTCTATAGTTTTAGATTCGACGCCATATTTATTATTTCGGAGGTATAAACTAATTCATCGGAAGTATAGCCAGTTCTGAGTTTATTTTAAAACCATACAATTAACGTCAACTATATTACTGTATTATTATTTTTTTCTGCTTGAATTATTCACATTGCGATAAATGTGCGTTACTATATAGAATTGCAACTTAAGCCTATTGCGGCTACGTTTATATCAGTGTTGTAAATTGTTATAAATAAAAACATATATAGGCCTAATGTTAGTGAGCACAAACATATACCGTACCTTATAAATTATGAAGTTTTCTGTATATAACGCTGTTTCTTTCTACTTTCGGGCTCAAAACCATAATTTGTGCAAAATTTAAAAGGCTATGACTTATTATGATAGTAAAATGTTTTAGACAATATGTATAGATATAAAAAAAAATTACTAATCAATGTTATGTAGGCTTTTAGGCTTGTGTATTTCGTAATGCAGGCAGTTGTGAATTTTGGCACAATCCCACAAATATAGAATGTATACTCTACCTCATGAGTAACATTTGAAGAGCGTCTTGTTTGAATCATCATGGGTTGCCAAACATTCAAATCCGAAATTTAAAGATAGGCCTATATTTTCCCTTGAAAATTACGAAAAACCATACGAAAAATGATTTTGAAATTAACTTGCTCAATTTGCAGTAACATATAAATTATTAACTTGAGCAGAGAAATTATTTAATTAAAAAAATTTGTATCCCAATTTTTATACTAGGTAATGATAAAAATAATAAAAACACTTCCGTGACTGTAGTGTTTATATCATTTTTGCTGTAAAATTGTTGGTAAAAATTTTCTGATACACTAATTTCTAAGTTCAAATTATTGATAATTATTGTGTTACTTCAAAATTTCAAAATGAGCAAGTAAATTTCCAAAAATTATTTTTGTTTAATTTGTATTTTTCATGGAACAATACATCTTTAACGAAACAAATATATATATAAAACATTATGTTGTAATTACATCGTACATATATGTGCTTCACCAACCGTTGTTGAGACTGTCGCTTTGGTGGATAACCAAGGTACGTACCGGAAAGTTACGAAGGGTCTATAGACTACAGTTAGAAAACGACGCTGTCCGCCGTCAGAAGGGTACCACTCAGTACACAAGTAGCAGTTTCTGAAAAGAAGAGATACAACATGACTTGGATGAGAACTACAAAGAAGGGGTAAAATGGTACTCCTCGCTGATGTTGGACGAAAGTGATCATGTTCCTGTTAATGATGTATGCATCACAATCTTAAATGTAAATTATATAAACTCGAAACTAGTTACAGTATATTCATTTATTAATATTTGTATTAATCAATTCATGCATTCATTTATTCATTCATTTTCCATTTATACATACGTTATGATTCATTAATTCTTGTGTACTCATTCATTATACTCGAATGTGGTGAATTCATTGTATTCAATCATGTATAATATTAAATTATAATTTTTTCATTCATTAACTGGATATTATTTTACGGTATTCATTCATTTTTTCATTCACCCATACATTCAATCAATTACTCATTCACTCTGTTATTCTCTTATTCATACATTCATTCTTTTTCATTCATTTTTAATTGATTGATTAATATAATTTATTCATCACTTATTCATTTCATTGATTAACAATTTTGGCTTTTGAATAAAAAATTAGGAATATAATTTTTCAGTAATGAACGTATAAATAATACCGTTTATTTTTGTTGTATTAAACTTTTCAACTTTGTTCACACCAGTACGTTTCATGACAGATGTTGTGTGTTCTGCCCATATACGGGCATGATGACCTTATGTCACACCAATGTATGGCAAATCATAGAGACTTGATAGTGTAGACCAGAGCTTTAATTTAAGGATATTTTGTAGTAAAAGCGAAACATAATTATATTGTTTTGTGAATTAATTATCTGGGGGAAATTCCTCCTACCCCCGCCTGGCGCCGCCACTGCTCAAGCTCATTGGAAGAACATGCATTTGAACAGTGTGATTATGGATGTGATGCAAGATTATGCTGAAGTTCGAAGACGACATTGCATTGTTACGGTGTATCAGCTAACTTGATCATTTAAATGAGCAGTTAAATAATAACAATAACAATAATAAAAGCAATAACAATGACAATCAGCAACCAATGATAACAACATCAAACAACAGTAAGAATAAAAATAAAAATAACTGTAATACAAATAATAAGAGATAACAATAACTAGGCCTATCAATAATGATAACAAAAAATAATACAAATATCAACAATAAAAAGTAAACAAAAACTATTACAATAAACAATAACAACAATATCAATTATTTAGTGGTGGTTTTCTAGATTTCACCACAAATTTTAAGAAATTGTATTTAATTTCCTAAAAATAATCCATTGAACAAATCTGTATCTATTTTCATAGTAACAATTTGAAGTCATTAACAGAACCACTAAACTGAAGTATCGGTGCTGGTTCGATCATTGGAATACCAGAAGGAATTAACGATTGTTTACGTAAGATCAGAATGCATGAAACATGATTATTAGCATAGCATGGTGCAGGCATATCATGAACAAATTACTGTTGTGGTTTATAGTATTCATGGGTAAAAATTCAGATCACCTTAGGCGAGTCGAATGGCCGAGCGGTTAAAGGCCGGTTCCCACTGAACTTGTCAAGCGAAAGCGTCGAGCGTCACGCGGCAAGCGAGCGAATCGCGCAAAGTTCACAAGAGTTGACTTTCAGTAAAGAATGTCTCGCTTCCAATGATTCGCTTGTCTGTTCTCACTGCTGACCGCGCGCAAAAACTCGAAATGGCGGGTTGCAACAGAAGGGATTTTGTTATCGCATTGATAGACGGAGGAAAAGGGCTGTGAGACGAATCAGATAAAATCCTCAGGATTAACATTCCCAGAACTCTATAATGAATCAAAAGAGTGAATATAAACATTAGTATATTTATTCAAGGCCTAGAGCTAGGCCTCCCTAAGGGTAGATAGTAGTAGGCTAGCCTACCCTCATAAGGGTAGATAGTAGGCCTAGCCTACCCTACCCTACGGTAGGTCTCAGGTGTAGCAGGGTATCAGAGGCCTAGGCTGGACAGGCCTAATACTGGTAGAAAGAGGAGATAACTCAACTCGTCTCTGCAAATCTTTTTCCACGCATTGTCACATATTTTCTTTGCTCCCTTGTCACAGACCTAAACAAGGGTAGCCTACTGTTCCACAGAGTTTGCATGGAACGGACTCGTCGGTCATCGTTCGCACATAATCTGTACATTGTTTTGACAATGTTCAGATTGGTCCATCGGCGATTGGTCCATCGATTGGTTCCACAGAGTTTGCATGGAACGGACTCGTCGGTCATCGTTCGCACATAATCTGTACATTGTTTTGACAATGTTCAGATTGGTCCATCGGCGATTGGTCCATCGGCCGCAAATTCGCTCGCGAATCCGAAAAAGTTGGTCTTGGATCAACTCTTGTGAATTCGCAGGCGAAGCCTCCGCGACCACTGCGCGCACCGCGTCGAAGTTCGAATATTGGGCGTTTGCGTGTTCGACTACAAATTCGTTTGCATGTTCACATTGGAAACACCAATCGCGTCTTCGATTCAGCCGCGCGCGCCACATTTCGACGCGAAATTCGCTTGATCGCGTTCAGTGGGAACCGGCCTTAAGGCAGGGGCCCGTAACCTACAGCCATAATACCGGTGCTGGTTCGAACGACACGCTCGCCTATGGCTCTGGAGGTGGAGCAAGTCTTCTCGGATAAGGACTATAAACCGTAGGCCCAGTGTACACAATGACTAATGTGCACTGTAAAGAATCCAGTACACCTTTCGAGACGAGTAGGGGGTTACCCCGGTGTAATGGTTTATCTCAAGCCCCTTCCCTCATCCAGATGTTTAACAGGCGTTGATGAGTATCTACATAGATTTAGATTACGTTATCACAATAATGTAAAGTTGTGGATGTGAAAGCAATGATTATATTATGTAGGGAATCAATACCAGTTTCAAGCTTGTCCGAAACATCTATCCATTTACATCCGGTTATTAGGACATGAAGAGTGATTCCAACACGCAGGTGCAATTATGCATGTGCAATTATGCTGCCGAATTTATTCTTTTAACCATAAATATGTTGTTTATTTATGAATTTTGTTTGTTGCACAGATAATGGGTTTATTGACATTTTTTATGCGTTTTATTTCGAGAAATATAATTTGGTGTGCATAAATTTTTAATTTTAATTTAATTTGCCCTCCACCTCCAATTCGAGACTAGATTTCGGAACTGAACATTTAGGGTGGTCTCGAGGTTTGGCCTCCAATTAGAGGGTTAGTTTTGTGTTAAAATATTGTTATTTGGTTCTTGTCTGGAATTAGATGGGTCGTTAAAGGGGGTTTCGAATTGAAGGGTGCTCTGTATTTGTAAACTTTGAATGTCCACTTTGTGGCTGGGACAGAGAGGGACAATAGGCATGAACGTAAAAAGGCAAAAAAAGTCATAGTAGGCCTAAGTTCCTTACGATGATTGTTGCCTGTGGGCTCTAATTCTGACCCACACAGGACAGTTAGCGAGTTTGATGGCAATTTGAGAAGACAAACCATATAAAAATAAACATATCTAAAACGTTAAAGTTTGCGTATGGCACTCAGTGCTAAATAAAACAATTACGTCGGCCCTCCGAACCATGCAGATTTAGGATCACCCCTGCTCTTAACGGAAACAAGTACACTTATACAATCACAATCGATCGAGCGTCATGGTATTTTCTATCTATAAAAATATATATGGAAGTAGGACCATTAAGAACACTCAAAGCCAAAGAAACTTAACCACTATCAGGGGCGGATTCAGCCCGTTAAGAAAGGAGTGGGGTCGTGAATGTGCGCGGAGCGTGAGTCTTAAGCTCAGTCTGCACTATCAAATTTTATGTGACAAAAAATATGATGTTACCATATATGGGTACGATGACGTCATATCACATATCATCAAATTGTATTAAAAAAAAGTTGAACATGTTCAACTCTATGTTTCATCCAATTTTATGTGATGCTTTTTGATGAAATTTGATAGTGTAGACAAAGCTTTAGGGTAGAGCCCCCGGTAAAACTTTGAAATAGAAAATGTAAGAAAATAATGGATATATAATAATAATTCACAACTATACAGAAGCATAGGTTAAGTATATCAAGTGGTGATGCAAGGAGCCTTAAACCTCTATCACATTCGTAAATTGAGTTGTATTTGATTGGTTTTTACTATTTAGCATGGTAAATTGATGATAAGCCTTATAAAAATGATTTTCACCTCAACTAGCGGGCCGGGGGTGGGGGAGGGGTGGGTGAGGCGCGGTAGTGCCTCCTTATACGCACCCTTTAAATCTGCCACTGATTATCTACTTCAGTTTGAAACATTTTGTTAGGAACAATCTTATTATTATTACATGGGCCTATACTGTCAAAATCATACCCCTGATATGTAAATAAACAAAACTATGTAAGGTAAGAAGTTCGAA